AGCTCTTTACATATACATGCAAGCGATTACATCCTTACCGCTGCCAACTTGTCAAAGCGGGCGAACAGTTCATTGAGAGTCATCACCAGCTCCTGTGCTGTGCACTGCGATGCCAGACTGGTGAAACCCTCAATGTCCGCAAATAAGATGCTGCAGAAACACAAAGACAAAAGAGACAGAATTCATTCAGAAAAGCCTTTTTCTCATTCCCTGAATTCTCTATACTGAAGTGATTTCCCTGCTGACCACACTTTTACCTGAAGAGGCAGAAAAACAAGATACTGCATGCTAACAAAAATGAGCAAAGGGTATCTTTGAGTACTACTTTTCACATCCCTGTGATGAACTTCACTACAAAGTATAAATCCACGGAAATCCAGTGAAAGCTAAAATAATTCTTCTCTGGAGATATGTGGAAATGTTTTTGCAAACCACTAATGGCTTGTAAAGACTTGCAGGGTGACTGAAACAAATATCAACTATGTGTACGTCAAACATGTTGATGAGACTATGAAAGTATGCTCAATTCAGCTGTCAGGATGTAGGCTGGAAACAGGAATGAAATACAAAAGCAAGAGCGACAGGAGTACGCTTGTTCACGTAGCATTTGGAAAGCATAATTTTAGCTCTACTGCACCCTCCTCGAGGCTGCCATTGTAGCTACGACACTGTCGCTTTGCTGCTGCTCCACGTGTGATCTAAATAAGCTCTTATTGTTTGAACAAGTCAGAGGACTACCAGGAATCAAATCTCTGTGCCACTGGTGGCAAGGTCAGCATTATTCAGGACAAATCCCAAACTGACCTACGGCTTCTGTGCAATCAGCACTGTGGGAATAGATTATCCTAAAAACAACTCCATGTTTGATTTCTAGCAGCTCGGGCCAGCATGACTTCAAGCCTTCTGAGCCCACATGTTCCATCCACAGTTCAATGAGTGTGACACTAAAATGCCCACAGGAGCGTGAGCGTGACCACTGGCGTCAGCCGTGTTCAGCGTATACCACACCTCTAGACAAATGTCAGCTGTGGCGTTGAAGAGGATAAGCAAGTGTTGATGACAGACGGAAAGCAGTTTCGCAGCTTGGGTAAGAGCTTCTGTCTGTGTTTCAGTGTGACTCTAGTTCAACAGCATGAGTCTTATGTGTTATAAATAGTTGGTGGACAGCAACTGAGCTGTCATTGAGACAAAAGGTTCTATATATCATTTTATGATTGGATAAGTTAGACGATAAAGTCATTTCACAACAAGTTTTCAAACTACACAGATGATGTGGCTACTAATAAAGCTCTGTAAGACTACACTCTGTTTACTTATATGCAATTCAAAATATGTGCCAATGCCGACAGCTGTTGTTTTTACTGAATTCACAAAGAAAAGTAATACAAAGCGTTCAAATGAATTGATGGAGATGGAGACGAGAGATTTCAAGATGTACCTTGGAGCCACTGATGCAGATGAAAGGTGTGAGACTGCGGCTGAGGGGGCTTTGCACAGTCATGTGTAATACAATGGCTTTAATCTGGAGTTTAAATGAGGTCTGTGCAAAGTGTGTGTGTTTGCATGTGCGTTTGTGAGAGAGAGAGTGTGTCTAATACATGTGGAGTAACTCTGAGCTTGCGAAAAGTTAGCTGGGAACAAGGTAAGATGATACAGCACAGGCCTTTCTGCGATTGAGGCATTTACTCTACTGACACTGGCACAACAGCGGGGCTGATGATCTCACCAGGCTGAACCACTGAAAGAAACAAGGACAAAGAGGCCAGGCTGGCAGATAGAGGCAGTAATAGGCTCGGCTTTAGCTCTGGGAGACAGCGAGATTGGCCTCACGTACACTCAGATAAAAGCCACGAAAAAGGCTTGTGAATGGCTGAAGTTGTTCTGTGAAACATCGTAACCCACAGAAAGTCTTGTTTCACGCTTGACATTTCTTTCTTCAATGAGTGTAGTTATTCTCTGATGTCCTCATGGGGTGAAACATGTGATGAACTTCATTACTCAAACTAAGGGGATGAGACCGTGCCTCGTGTGCTGCAAAAAACAATACTGCTTAGCAGGGTTTTTCTTGCAGCAGCTGTAACAAACACTCACTTAAGCTTAAAAAATACAACACATCTATCTCCTGCTTTAATCTAGGAGGGGAGGTGGGTGAACAGGCATGAACAGATTTTAGTGGATATAAATCGTTTTTATTCAGAGATTTTTTTTTTTTATTATGACAGTCGTTCCCAATTTAATGCAAAGATAAACCTTGAAGGACAGCCTGGAATTTGCAGAGCTCAAAAGACCAAGTCCTGCAGGGCCTCTCAAATTCATTTTTATCCTTTTTTATGCTTTCTTTATAAGTGATTTAAGAACTGTTTTCTTTGCCTTCGCCTCAACAAGAAAAATATGAAAAATAAGAAAGAATAAAAGGATGCACACTGTGTTTTTCTTACCCGCTCCGAAAAGATGATTTCTGATTGATCCAAACTGCAACGTTTGAAGCTGACCTTTGCAGCACATCACTGCACTACGCTGCTTTTATTGCAATATAAACATGCAGTGTAATGTACACTTTATGACACACATGGGCTTGAGCCAGCTAATAACGCCCTGAAAGGAAAGCTAAACTAATCTTCTGTTAAAAATATCTGACTGAAATATGAAAAATCTGGCTAAAATCTGATGTTAGAAAATATTAGAGGAAGTGTTAGATGTTAAAAAAAAAACAGCCCCATATGGCATAACAGGTTTTTCACTCCAGAAAAAGGAGATGCTAATATTTAAAGTCGTTATAAAAACAAATTGTTACTTCAGTATGTACAGTCACTTACTAGACTTGTAAACACCTGTTTAAATAATGCTCACAAAGGACTGTTTAAGAGAAGAAATCATATTTGGCATACATGTTTACATCCTGTATGTCAGAGAGTTCACTTTACTTAGTTTCCAAATCTTCATTTCACAGCAGAGGACTGGAAAACAACTTGTGCTGTAAGTCATGGTCAGGTGGGGAATAAAGACCTCAGATTAATCCTATAATTTATTAGAACATGTGTCATTACATTATGATAAAACTGTGCTGCCGTACCAAATGCACAGAGCCTAAAGGAACATCACAGTGCAGAAAAATGTGGTTAAAAAGTAAAGGCAGATTAATGCGAGATCATTCAAGGTCGTTCATTCTCGAGAAATTGTTTTTTTCATACTTATCTGTGAATATTCATGTTTTCTTCAGTCATTGATTCACAGGTAGACTCCATATTCCTGACATATTTCAATGTGTTTTATCAAATACATTCTAATGTAAACTTCAATTCACTCATTTTATATCATTTTTAACTTTTGCCTTTTTGCCTCTGATATAATCACAATCACGCACAAGTTCATACATTGTCTGCAGCGATCCGATATTCAGCTGTGCAACAACACCTGCAGGCAAGAAGCGTTGTCATTGTTTCACATTATGAGGAGCAGATTTAATCACTTCCCCGACTATGTACAATTAGCTTTTCAAATTAAGACCCTCCAGGAAGGAGAAGAGGATGCTATAAATAAAGAAATGTTTTAGACCAAACAAGCTCACATGAATCTCACAGGGTAAGTGGCTGTTACACAGGCGAAAGAACATGGTGTGTTTGTACAGTATGCCAAGACTGGCCCTGTGGTTGCTTTGAGGTGAGTGTATTTCGGGTATGTGAAATTCATTTTGTCTAAGCGTTATACCAGTTTGTTTTTGTTTTGTTTTTTGTCCAGGGTTCACATGCTACCTTTTTCTCTTGACTGCTCATATGTCAAGAGCGCTAACGTGTTCTAATGAACTCCAGCTCCAAAATTCCTAAATTTACTCAATTTGGGTCTTAGGCTGCAAAGGATTAAGAGTTCCCTCTCTGGGGTACACATTTCTGAGAATAATTGATTGCTTTCGGTGAACTGTTGCATGGGAGGTGAAGTGAAACCAGACACTTGACCGATGTGTCTGGACTCAGCACAGGTCTATCTAATTGGGCAGTGACGGTTAATGAAGGAAAGCGGGTGACTGTGGGATGGAAGAAAGAAAGACAGGAAAGTCTGACATGTGCTACAGGTTTTAAAGCTATAACCAGGGGTGCACATAAGTGGTCCGCAGGTAAATAAAAGTCGCGCACCAGATAAGAAGTTGCAACGCACGTTTGCGTACATATAAAAGGCAGTGTTTTTGTCCGCTAGAGTAGGATTTTCATGGCATATTCTGCACCACATCTCTGTGCGTTCATCATTTGTTTGAAGCCAGCTCACCTCCTGCAACCACTTTTCCGAGAATACGCGCTTCTTTTGCGGTTCGGACTCCTTCTGACATTTCTTTGGAGGTGGAGGAACACCAAAGTAATTGCTTAAAGGAGCTTGCTTCTTCGACATCTTTAAGAGTTCTAAACACATGTTTGTCCTCCTCCAGAAAATCTTATGCACGCAAACGCGCGTTGCAACTTCTTATCTGGTGCGCGACTTTTATTTTGACAGCGAATGCGCACCTGCGGACCACTTATGTGCAGCCCCGGTTATAACACTGCGATCTAATTAAGAACATGTAACCACAACAGTCAGGAGAAGATGTTATTTCCATTTGCAGTAATATGAATCAGGTGGACTGGTTTGTCTGTCTTGTCTCTTGTTGGCCAGCGTTGACAACAGACTTGACATCAAGTCATGAGTGAAAAGCTGTGGTGGAGTTGGGCTGCAAAGCAGCTTGCAGGTTTGAAGTGACTGTGACCAAGCTAAAGTAGCTGAAACTGAGCACCCAATTAATGATTGGCTATTAGGATGCACAGAAGCATCACCTGAGCAATCGCTTCATGTTGGCTAGCTTTTGGGTGTAAATGTTATATACTTACATTTAACAATTAGTAGAAAAGAAACCCAAGTGGAATATTATCTGGAAAACCTATTGCTTCTCAGTGTAGCAGTAATGGTCTATGAAGCCATTTAACATGGCACTGGGTTCTCTCACCGTCTGCAAATAAAACTGTATACTGGGTTTCTTATGGCACTCACTTAACAGACTGGCTATTGCCTGTTTCATCATGTTCGTCAAAGATAAGTAAAGGGAAGCAGAACTGCTTTACCCTCTTTAGTTATAAATAAACAAAGCTGTCCAGTGGGACACAGACCTTTACAAGTAAAAAAGAAAA